CCCAAACGCATACATTTCACCCACGTGTAACGATTAATGATAACATACGTAACAACTGCATGAACATAACAAATTGAGCTCAAACTCCAGGCCCACAACCACTCCTGCAGACCTCTGCCTCCAGCCGCCGGCAGTCACAATTGCTGGAATCAGTCCCTAGAGGGAGCCAGGCGCCCGCACACCCCCCAACACGGACCGGTGTCAACCCTATCAGCCAACAAGTTTCGACATAAACTTTGCAAAGGGACTGACCGCAAGGAAACTTGCTTCAACCCAAAAGGCAGCTACAGAAAGGGCTGAATTGTGGTAACGAATGGATCTAAAACTGTGTAGCTAAGGAGAGAGAACAAAGTGATCTGAATCAAAATTCAGCCACGTATTTAAAAATCCACTTTTTTGCTTGATACCATATTTAAGGTAAAATTTAGAAATTCAGCTAGCCAGCTAGCTTAATCATTAAGGCTGGAGAATTGGAGAATTTTTAATTCTGGTGCATACTTGTGGAGAAGTCTCCCAGCTTGTCATAGCTCTTACCTGCTTCCAATTTCCACGGGTTTGTTGGTTGGTTTTTCTTTTTTGGTTTGGTTTGGTTTTGGTTGGTTGGCTTGGTTTTTTAAACACTTTTCTCTCTCTCAAAGCAAGACTTACAGGGGACTCAGGGTTCAAGCACTCATTCACTCGAATTGGGGACAGAGGCACTTAAAATGTCTTTATAGGTCAAAGATCCCTTGAAGTTTAACACAGCATGTCCAGAAACAGAGACTCAACAGCAACAACAAACCCAACAAACAAACCCCACCACCCAAAACCAAACCCCTTTGACTGTAGAAGGTCAGTTATATTTCCTTCAGTACCCACATCAAGAACAGGACTGCAACTCATTCTTTCCTTCACCTCATTTAAAAATCCTTTTTTACTTGAATGAATTCTCAGAAGTATGCACTGAGTCAAGTTTTATGAAGCGATCTCTCCACAAGTCCCTGACCCAAGAAACATACACATCTATTCTAGATGAAATGAAATGCAAGATCAAAATTTTTTCTGGACAGTTTTGGTTAATGAAGATGACGTAACCAGCGAGTAATGGACATTTTTGTGGTGTACAGTATAAAAGGCATCACAAGCATTTCTGAAAGTTTCTCTGACTGAATTCAAGATAAAGCAATGCCTGTGACGAGCAGTCTCAAAGATCATATTCAGCAAACTCAGTCAGAATCGCCTTCCTTTCCATGTCTCACCAGAAAAGCATGTTCATAGTGATAAAGGAACAAGTCCCAAGGGTCAGAAGGAATTCCAATTTCTGCTGTGTATGTTTCAGCATATATTGCAACTTACACCAAGGAGCACTCTGTGATGGGCCCATCTCTTCACGACAAAAAACACACCTAAAGCAACTTCCACAACAGCCGGCTCATAGCTGTTCTCTTCCAGTTGCCACTGACAGCTGCCACTCACACTGCTGCTGACCTTCGGGCAAGGGGATCCACATTCTAAACTGCCAAGCCCCGGGCTATTCTGATGCCTGCAATGCCTTGTTCACACAGCAAAACGCTTTGAATGCACCTGTTTTCTTTGAAAAGTCCAAGTTAGGCATTTCTGACCACCCAAACTGTCAGTTACTACAGTGTAGTAACAGGAGACAGATGTTAAGGTCATTAACCCTATCCAGTTGAATAATGTCAACAGTTCCAGGGGTTTGATTGATCATAACACTTTGCTAGATAACTAATTAATTTTTAAACACAGCATATAACCGATAAAAAAATCCCACACGTTAATAATGGGTATTTTTTGCCATTACTTCTCCCTTTCATTTTACCGCCACTGGCTCTGGAACTAATCCAAAGAACTTGGTATGATTTTCCCTGAACCTAAATTTAGTCAAGGGAGCATGACTGCTATGTAACAACTTCACACAAGCAGGTTCTGACAATATTAGACCTAGGAGTAAATCCTTACCGTTTACCATGACCAAAGATGCTGGATGAAGATACGGCGTGCTGATTTACTCCAATTTGGTGACAATTCAGTTGTCGAATTTTAACCCCGATTAACAATGACAACACTTCACATATTTAATCACTCTGGTATTACCAAGATAAAAGCTCTAAATTTAAATTGGTTAGTGGATCTACTTAGCTAAGAACTAAAACAGGAGGACATAATTTAATTCCTTTGCTATGGGAAGAATTCTGCAACCAAACCATTAGAATGGTGTTAAGGACATCTTTTATCTGTTATAATGGGATGAAGAAAGTTATCTTCCCAAGAATATAAATACAGACCGTGTTTCAATTACCCAAAACACCATTTCAAGAGTGAGGTTCAGAACAATCTTTTAACCCACATATATTTTGAATTTGTGCACAACTGCAGTATAACATGGTAACACTTTTCGAAAATTAGGAGAGAATTCAGAGCTAACTTTTCAATACGAAACTTGCAGGATTAAGAAAAAAGAAAGCTTACATTAAAGTTTACACAATTAAAAAAATTATTTCGAAGCATCTCACATCTCTACTTTCACACTGGATAGTGGACATTCACAGATCTACAAAAGTAATACTTGCCAGGATTTGTGTGATTACATGGTAGCAGCCATTTAAAAGATGACTTTAAATTACTTCTTCTTTCAAGACTGAGATTATGACAACAACAAACTAAGCATTTTGTTTGTTTCCTCCCTGAAAACACCCTGAATGTCAATCTGACCTTTCCAGTTGCATGGAAGATCACCCGTAGGCCAGAGAGATTATGGCCCATTTTCACGTAAATGCTGAGCATTCAGAAACCATTTCTTTCCAATTGTTATTATCCAGTTCTTAAAACGGATAAGCAAATAAATGACACACTAAAGGGTAACAGTTTTTGTTTGTCTTTGAGGATGGTCTCTTCAGCTTACCTTCTGAACCAGGCTGCTCCTTTGCTTCTGTCTGAGTTTCATCAGACTTTACTTCAGTGCCGTCTGCTTGTGTTGCCAAGTTCTGTTCTGGTGCTGGACTTGAATTACTACTGTTTTCTTGTTTTATTGGAGAAGCATCAGCTATTGAACTCTGGTTGCTATTGTCATCTGTTAACAGAAGAGTTAAAACCGAGAAAGTCTAATCTGACAAGATAAAAAGCACACCTTAAATTCTTCCATATTTTTCCTGTATTATTCCCTGGTAACACATGATACAGCCTAGCTTGTTGAGGATCAGGCCCCAGCATTTAGACTAACACTATGTCTAACTTTTTTTCTACGCTACCACAATTTTTGCTCTTGCAGCCTACACTGTGATACAGTTTTCTAGCAGTCGCTAAAAATCAGGAAACTTCAAAAAAAGCTGCTCTAATTAGTATTATACAATATAACCAAGAGTGTTTTACTCAGATCTCTTCCAAAAGAACCCAGAATTTTGTAATAGATCAACTGAAGCAACAGTCTCATTTTATAGTTCACATAACACAGGGCTAATCAAGTGTTCATGCTGCAGATTTACAAATACCCATCACTACGAAGTTCAGATGAGCAGACAGATTTTGAAATGTGTCCTGAAGGTCAAAAAAAAAAAACCCAAACCCCAAGAAAACAACAAAGCCCAAAACCCCAACAAAACCCCATCAAGGTAAAACGTAACATCCAGTTTCAGTATCAATAGTTTGTAAGTGATAATTGTCCAGAATATTCTCTAGCCTCCAAAAACCTGGATCACAGTAACTTTCTGCAGCACAGATCGTGTCTCTGTAGCTAGCAGGAAATATTCTGCCTTTACCCTCTTCCTGTGAAAACCAATGACGTGGTTTAAGTATCTCAGCTGATATTTATGGACAGCAGTGGGGTGCAGCTTCCTGTCATCTTTAAGCCAGCCTCATAAACACAGGTAACCAGGAGGGAAGCTCCTAACCCAGCAAAACATTATTAGTTAAATTACTAGCATGGAAGTCGATCCACCTCTCTGCATCTGTACAATCATTACATCCAAAGGACTTCAGAAACACCGAGCTGGTGATGGGACCATCTCTTTTCAGAGCAGCTTGAATTCAGATCAGATTAAGTTTATCACGAAATTGTATAGTACAGCTTAAAGCCACAAGTGATATATGAGAAAAAAAGCAAGTAATACGATCACCTCATAGGTGGAAGAAACAAGACTTAAGAAAATTAAATGATCTGACCAAGGCAAAAGCCAAGCAGTTTGAAACAGATAAAAAATTAATCCAGATCTGCGAATATCCTGCTCAGTCTTTTAATTGCCAGATCATACTTGCTGTGAACATTGCAAAAACCAACCAGGAGGCAATGCAAATGCAAACAAAACTGAAATGAAAAATTTACAACCCACTAAAAAGTGATGCCCTCTTATCAGCTCAAATAGTGCTACACTCTCAGCCATAATTGTTATCCAAACACCTAGAAGGTAAAAAATTGAAACAGAGCTGAGCTATGCAGGCTCCTCTGCAATAAACACCGGGTTAACACTCAACAGTTCATACTTTAAAAAAGAAAAAAAATAAAATTGACCTAATAGTGCCTGACTGACAAGCAAAAAAATTGTTTTCTTAACCAGTTAATTTCATCAAGCTTGCTTTCCTGGCGCTGGCAGAATTCTTTTGACCTGAATCACCTACAGAGTTAAAAAGTACAAAACCTGCACAAATTACAATAGGTGTCACTGAGCTTTGGAGGTCTTTTGGCTCTTCAAGCAGCAGAGTGTAGTATTTTTGAATGGCAGGTATTCCTGGTTTTATTTTCACATTTAGCTCCACTAACCATTCCCCCCCCACCCCAAACACAGCCCAAATAAAAATGGCACTTAGAGAACTGTTAGTACATTTACAGAAAAGAGAGAATTCGACACTGTTAGCTTATACTTCCATAGCAGTGTAACAGTGTAACTGGGGCTGACCTTCTCCCACTCACCATGCATGTCCATCATCCCTGGAGAGGAGCTGTTCTCTGGAGTGGTCACTTCAGAGCCACATTTTTCATCTTTGCCTTTTTTCTTATTCTTATTTTTCTGAAAAACAAAAGGTACCACAAATAAATGAGACTATCACCATGAAAAGAAATCCATGTTTCAATACAAAACCCTTCCCACTTATCACTTCTGTAAGGCTCTCTCAATTTCAAGTGAGAAATAAAGCCAATGTAGTAATAACTGACATTATCAATAATGCATTAGTCCCAATAACTGCAGGGCTGTTTTTCTAATTGTATTCTTCATGACACAAAACACTAGGATATATAGGTTTTTATCCAGAAATTCTAGTAACAGTTAGCACTTAAAGTTTTTTCACCTTCAAACAACTACACAATTTTTGTGAAAAGTACAAAAGCTCATAACAACGCCCCTCGTTCTACAAATAGGGAATCTGAGGCACGATGACGAAATGGCTTGCTGAAACTGAGTCGGCGAACTTGGGAGGTGCTGCCTGCTAACTTGTGCTCAGTCCAAAGAGCTACAAAGCAAGGTCGAAAGAATCTCTGCTACGCCGGGAAAAGGGAAGAACATCACTGATTAGAGGCAGGGCTAAGATTCATGGAAGTACCCTACTCCTGAGCTCGTAACTCTGCTCACTGTATGGCTGATGCACGTCAACACATGGCTACAAGACAATATATTCTCCCTTTCATATCAGAAAGCTTGTAGAATACACCTAGACAATATGCATGCATGCACAACAGGAATAACAGATCTAGAATTTTAACACTAAAGAGACAGCTTTTTACCTCTTTCTCAATGACCAACACTGCAGAGACCTCCTCCTTCTCTACAACTAATGCTGTTTCTTCATTAAAACTAAAAGATGGATTAAGAAAAATCAGATTGGCCTAAAACAAAGAGCATAAGCAAGACAGTCCTACATGAACAACAGGTCACAACACGCTCATGACCAAAATACAGTACGGACTGCAAGCATTAAAACAAAGGAAGAGACAGTGGCATCCATCACGTGGAAAATCTGCGTCTGCTAAGGGATGCAGCATTTTCAATTAAGAGGTGACGTAATCAGTCTCACAGGAGAAAGAGCCAGCTGCACTGCTTTTGGAGGATCCTGCGTGCCTGCTGAGAAGACAATTAAAAGCCTGACTCTAGGAAGAACACTCGGCAACACATCCATTCGGATAAGACAGCATCTTCCAATGAGGGAAGGACTAAAACCACAATCAAATACTGTCTAAGACTGCAGAAGAAATGCAACAAGCGATAGCTGGAAAGACTTTTCCCTCTATTTTAAATATATAATTAGGCTTATTTTTAAATTGTATTTTTACTGCAGAGAAGCCAGATTTTATTTCCTAGTATGTGAAACCGAGGTGAAACCACATGGACTTCTTTACCTTTGCAGAATGAAAGTTCAGAGGGGACATAATCTCTCAGGTTTGGTTTTAATTTTTGTTAAAGGTAAAAAGGACACTTTTGCCACAAGAGAAATACTGAAATATGACTGCGAGCAATTTAAGCTGAAAAGGGTTTTTTTTTTAAAAGGTTTAACCATCAAAGCGGTGAGGTTCTACAACAGCTTTCCAAAACTAGCAGGAGGAAAGAGCCTAGCTAATTCTAGTTCAAAGAAATGTCAAAGTGTCTTAGGAACAACGTGTGAGGGGGGCAAGTAATCTAATCTGTCTTCATTAAAATCAAAGACAAGTTCCATTGAAACATGAAGCAGTAAAAAAGATCACAATCTCCTATTCTAGTAAAAAGCAAGTATACTGCTTGCTCCTTCACAGGTGGATGAAACTGGACATAAAAGGATGTCCACGGCAAAATTAAATAGCCAAGATGATCCCTACCTGATATTTATGTCTAAAATATATGCACTTGTTTTAATTGTGTGAACTTCCAGAGCAAGACAGACACCTTACGGTATCAAGCCTGCAACAACTGCAGCTGCACAATGGCCTCTACTTCTACTAATGAATAGAATGTGACTGTAGGACACTAAAGTAACTAATCTTGAACAAGTGGCCCAATTTCAGCAAATCTGGAGCCTAAACCTAAAGATGATGGCTCAAAAAATTCAATTAAACTCTGCACATAGAGACTGTTACATAAATCTATTCTTCTTAATAGAGAATTTGACTTCAGGTACCAGCCTCATTGAAAATTTGTCCAGAAACACACTAGAAATTCTATTTCAAAGTTCCATGGTACCCATCATGCAGGCATACCTTAACTGTATGAAAACAACTTTCAGAAGCCTTGTGCCTAAATACCTCTCTCTTGCTCACCCTCTCTCTCACATAGACAGCACAGCTTTTTCCCCCTATGTATTATAAATAATAAAATCAAGACAAAACATTTGACAACTAGAAAGAATGAACAAGTTTCTGTAAAGAAATACGGGAAGGTTTCCAAATTCACAAAGGGTTAACTTCACAGAGATGCTGCTCAAGCATTGGAAGAATATGAGAGGCTTATCACAACTCTGACAGTCATGGAAATCTGTGGTACAACCAAAGGTACAGAAAGAAACAAATGCTGTTAAAACAAGGCTAATCAAAAATAGGTCTCGAATTTGGACTCTGAATAAGACAAGATCATGACACTGTCTTGTCTGAAAAATCATCATTTTATACACCTATTAACAAGGTCGTTTTCTTCCAAATAGTCCTTAACTCATATTTCAAAGAAAGTAAAAGCACATGGCAGCCCAGTACAAAACCTAGGAGATATATTCTATTGTATCATTAACTTACTGTGGTACTATGGATTAGTTTTCCCTCTATAAAAATATTTCAATTTATAAAATGAGAGCAATGTTCATTTTGAAAAACAATTTCTAAGCCCTCTCAACTTTGATTTTTACACTTATTTTTCTGCCACAGGACTGTAACATGGCACATGAACAGTGCACACTGAGAATGTAAACAAGATGCACAGACAAAGCATTTATCAAGAGAAAACACACATGACAATAGCAGCACGTCTGCTGTATTGCTTGGGCTGGGCATCTTAACACAAGTGATCTCAGTTCCCCACGATTTCCCTACCCCTACTTCAGTGTTTTGCACCCATTTTTGAGTAGAACAGCAGTGATGCACAACATGCTCCGCACAGTTCCAAACCAGCTACTTTCCTGTAAAGCATCAGGCAGAAAGAGGGGAGAGGTAATCCATATCTTAGCTTTCCCTCCCTGTCTCCCAATTATTATCTTAGAGAAAAGTTTCAGAACTGTTTCAAGCTGAATGTTTAACAGTTATCTGAGAACTGATCCAAGCTGACTCCAGGACGACTGACACCCACTGAACCATCACCATCACTTTCTGTAGAGATCAACATTTTCCCTAGAACTCTTCTGTTCAAACGCATGCAGGACCCACACCAGTCTTAGCTTAAAGGCTCAAAGAATAGAGAGCGTATTTCTTTCGACTGGCCCTAAACATGAGCATCTACATCTTGAAAAAAGCAAGACATCTGCAAGGATACTTACATCATCGACTTTAGGCTCTGTTACTGGTACCCATTTGTAAATCCTTAGGGATGTGTCGCCAACTGTCACCCACTTCTTCTCCCTATAAAATTACAATGCAGGAGAAGTTAAAGTTAAACTTCAGATTCAAAATAAAGTGCTCTACTATTGTAAGTTGTCAAGGATTTAAATAGGCTATTAAGTAGGATGATCTCTATTACATCGTCTTTAGTACTGCATTGTGCAAATTGTTCTTTGCATTTCAAAAACTGTTAGAGCACTGCTAACCTCCAGATTTCTCAGGGCTGTTACTCGACTAGGTGAGTAACTGCAGTAGCAGTAATAAGGTCTGGATTAAAGATACAGTTAAGAAGAACAGCTATTGAAAATGCAGATTTAATGCCTACAATTTTCACTTAAGTTTCTAGAGAGCAGAAGAGGTTTTAGACAGACCAGTGTGTTTTTATTGTCATGAAGCTGTTTAATGGTATTAGAAATCTAAATGCATTTTGACCATCTGAGGTTTGTTTTTGGGTAGAAATTTGCTGCTAGCAATTTAACGTTCACTCAACACTCCTGTCAGACGGCTCTGAAATTCCAGCCTTAGAACCAACAGCCTTATCGGTAGCAATATGTGCTGTGATGCAGAATTCAGGCTCTGGAGAGCCTCGCTCTCTTGGAAAGGAAAGGCTGAGGCTATCGGAGAGGGAAAAAGCATCACCTACGGCACTCTGTGCAGACCCCTGCCAGCCAGCCGTGAAGCCGTGACACTGACAAATGGCGAAGGAAATCTGGCTGGAGGGCGTCGCTACATTAGGGGGTCACGCAGCCACAGAGCGCGGAGATGGAAAGGATGCTGAACACTTAGTTAAGGGATGAATTCCTTGAGCTCTTTACATCAGAATATTAAAAGAAGGTCCACAATGCCAGAGAAATTTCATCACATTTCTGTGATCAGTTTTCAGGTCACAGATTACCACTGCTGGTTCCTGGGTTTATAATATAGCTCTGCAAATGGATCGATTAAAAGTTAACAACAAAGACCAATTCATTAAATATTCAGGAACATCTGAAATTAATTTGGCATGAGATCTCAAGCATTTTTTCTTTTTTAAAAACACATTTAAATAATAGATTTGGGATCCGGTTATAGATTAAAAAATACGTTCTTTGCAGGATGGGAGACGCTGGATGTGACTCCAAATATATATATATATATATATGCGATAGCTCCATTTTTAGAAAGGGCTTCCAGAATCAAAAGCAGCCACATTGTACAAATGCCACAAACATCCTCCTGACTATTTGTTTTAGCTACTAAAGCCAATCTTACTTGTTTTCCCTTTAGAGGAGACACTTTTCTGTTTAAAACAAACCAAAAAAAAAAAAGCTATATATGGCAATTTGATAAGTTTTGGATCGGTCCACAAGGATATTTTAATTAAACTATTTCAGATTCATTTCTTTCCCACTGTTCTTCCTGGAGCACAGTTTTTCCTCAATGTGTTTAGATACATCCACTCGGGTATGCTAGATGGCTAAAGTATGTCAAAACCCAATTTTACGCTAATTTGGAGCTCTACTGCTAGATGTGATAAAAATGACAGTGGAGATGAGGGCATGTCAATAATGAGAGCATACTTAATTGTGAAGAGATGACCATGATACCTTTTTTTTTTTAAGGATACAAGACAAACTAAACTTATTTCTACTTAGGAAAACCTTTGAAATTACGGAAATAAAATCAGCTGGGGTTTTGTTTTGGATGTGGGGAAAGGTGAATAAATGCTTTAAAAAAAAAATCAAAATTTTAGTCTTTTCCTACAGCAAAATATTACTTAGAGATGCTGCACTGGAAAACCAAAAGTTCAAGATACCTGTTAGCATCTCAAAGCAGCCTCACACAGCATCTTCACTGGACAGACTGTAGAACACAGGAGGAAACCTATATTAGTAACTTTTTCTTTCTAGTATTAAAGTTAGCCCTGACATTTTAATTCGTTTGAGCTTCTTAAGTATCACTTTAACTTTTGATAACCCTCAGCTATAGGGATTTTTTTTACTGAATTCAATACACAGTAATTCAGACAACAATGGGAATAAGGATATTTTGTGATGGAAGTACACCAACATCCCAGTCCTGCAAACACTTACGGCTAAAAAGAAAACCCAACATCACACTGCTATTATTCAGATATTTTACATGTGTAAGCATTTACAGTATTGAAGGTTTAAGACCATAAACGTATTAATAAGAAAAAAGACGACAACCTCCCCTAAAACTTAATAAAATCATTAACAGCACAAACATAAATTTGTTAACAAAGAAACATAATGACTTTCAGACATTTAAGATGAACAGGGCAAAATAACTTCAAGATTTAAGATGTTTAGTGCAAATAAAGCTTCAATTATTATCTGTATACTTACTGCCCTGCCTTTTCAAAACAAAAACCAAAAACCAAACCAACCGAACAAAAAAAGCCCCAAACCCCCAAAACCACTTCTACTCTAAACACTCCCTTTTTATCTTTTGTGCAAAGACACCACCCCAACCTGCTGATCAGGGACCTCCCTTTTCATTTAGTTGGAACTGTCCGTCTACTGATGCTGCCCGTAACAGTAAGTTTGCTAAATGTTGCACAAACTACAAAATATTCTCACTGATCAAATGTACGAGTAGGAACGAGGCGTTAATGAACTCTTGTGCCACTGTTGTGAAACCTTAAGTAGTTTCTCCACCTCTTTTCCTGTCTGTAAAATGGATCTGCTGTCGAGCCCACTCATCCTGAGATCCTGACCCAAATTCCACCCCCATAACTCTATTCCTCCTTTGTTGAGCGATCACTCAGCAGTATTTTTTATTGCACCATCCCCTGTTACGCTACATAAGTTTATCTCTGTATTGACTGGTGGATTGGAAAAGGTGGCTGATGGAACACCATCAACCTGAGAGTTAATCAAGTTAAAAATGTGGCAATTACCAACTTTACTTGCCTATGCCTAGCTGATAAACTCCATAGCTTTACAAAACCCTCATTTTTTCTGGTTTCAAACCTCTCCTGTTCTTCCATGAATGACTCAGGAGTAACAACACTGGAAAACGGCAAAACTTAAAATATATACAATAATATTTTTTTCTTTTAATCTTCCACACTGGAAAGCATCTTAAATGTTTTGGTTATAGTAAATTCAGAAACTAATCAATGCAACAGAAACAAACCCTTACATTCATCTGAAATTGTGTTAGAGCATTTTTAAATTCTGAACCGTATCTGCACAGCATTTAAAGGACGGCCAAGGATACGTAGGGTAAGCATTAGTATCAACACTTCTTTAGTGCCGATGCCCAAGGCATACTAATATCCTAGAACTTACAGAATTATATACTCAATTCCCCATTCTAAATAGCCCAAGACACTTAAATATATTTATATTTTGTATATTACCACTAAAGCTCCAAAGATCCATGTATAAAAGTAATATACCGGTGAGCAGACACAACAGTGTATATTACACTTATACAGACAGTGTCAAGGCAGCTTCTGCAGCAGCAACGAGTGGTAGAAACATCTGATGGCACAGAAGAAAGCCTTCACTGCCAATATCTTATCATTCAAGAAAAGGCTTTCACACTTGTTTGGCCTTTTACCGTGACTATCATTTATCACAGTGATCTGTATTTACACAAGGATTTGCTCCCACATACCCCATCTTCTGTTGATGATCACGAAGTGACGTCATAATGCTGAATTTATCACATCACACTCACTTGCATTGCAACAGAGTTTGGTGAAAATCACAGAATTATGACCTCCCTGTGGGATCAAGCAAAGGAGAAAGGGGAATGGGAAAGAAAATGCCATTATTATACACAAAAAGTGCTGTCAGATGCACAAAAAAAAGATTTTTTTGAAACGCAGGCTTGCTTTTCAGAGCACGCCTATTGCTATGTGGACGTCTGCCTAGTGACTAAGGCAAAGTGACCCCAAACATACACGGTGTTTCTTGACCACGCTGCAAATACAATAAAATACCATGTGGCATGAATGGACGAAGACTAACGGTTAAGGACACTTCTGAGTTTACCTAAATACGGTGCATATGAGAGTCCCTTTCAACTTACACTGGCCAGCACATTTTTAAGCAAGTTCTGCTAAGTTCCACGTTGCAACAACCACCTTTTCTTCCAGTAAAGAGAAACTCTACCTTCTACATCCAACTTCCACTGAAGACAGAGAGCATCTTCTGGCTCAAAAAGAAATAATCGTGAGCCAGAAAAAAAGGTATCGTAATTCATGCATGATAACAGCGTGTTTAGGCCACTACAGTACTTCAGTACAGTTCCTGCACATACCCTGGGTATTTTTACTTCACCGGCCACTACTTGAACTACAACCTCAGCAGGGAATCGAACACAGCTAATGTAGCCAGACTAAACTAGGGTGGCAATCTGGCAGTAGCAAACAGTCTTTTTCCAAAAACATCACATTAAGAAGTTCTAGGTCATAACTACTCTTCAGAGTGAAAGCCTATTTTAAGAAGGAGGCAATGAGCAGCAAAACCTGCAGAAGCTCCATCTCGGAGCATTACATACCACACAAAAGTATCTTAGCAAGTCTGAATGGATACAGCAAACAGAAAAGCTACAGCAGCATTGTCTAGAAATTCTCCTCTAACTAGCCACAGCTAGAGATCCCAACCAGCAGTATCAGGTAACACCACCCGTGGTGACTTTGCTCAACTTTTACACAACACGCTTTGTTTTAAGCCACATCCCAAGTCATGTCTGGCTCTACAGACTATTCCCTGCCACAATAAACACTCAGCACTTTCTGCAAGTACTTTCATCAGTTGTCCGGGTTCACCTCTTCTGCATAAGGTGCCATCACTATCCCTAGATTAGGGCTTTGATGGGTCAGAAAAAGGTCAAAGGACTTCTCCAAAGACACTGCAATTCGAAGGCAAGGCAACACAATGAGATTTCCTCATTCCTAGTGCATTCTCTAAACCAGAGGACCTATCCCCATCGGCCACACCACACCTCCATCCTTACATGTTTGCACAGTTGTCCGAAAACTCAGGCGTGCTACATACACATGCAAATTATTTCATTGCCTCCCAAGACCTCCTACCACTTATGCTTCCCTCCTGCCCATTACTTTAGTAAATGTCTGCATTTTCTTTCATTCAGTAAATCAGACTTTTATAAAACAAGAGTGTTCCCAGTATCTTTCTAATGCTGGTGGAGAGCACAATAGTTTTGCCTCTCCCTTCTTCAGAACCTAAACATACCTATCAATCTTTAAAGACAAAACCCAATCCTGTACCCTTCACAACGCACTGAGATACATTTATCTCAGATGATTTTTTAAAATGGACTGAAAGAAAAATTATAAGTACTGTTCAAAAAAGTAAATACCCTCTTAGCCGTCGAAATTTAACATTTCTGCCACACAAATACAACACAACCATGTATTCTGTAAGACACGTGCTATGTGTTTTCCAAAACAGATGCTCATTCATGAGAGTGGTTTAAACAAAGGAGATATGGTTACACTAATCTCAAGATAAAAACGTAACAACTGCACTGTTTACTACTAAGTTCCAGTAATACCAGAAGCGCTGAGCGCTCTACGAACACACATGAAGATAGGGTACCTGCATCAAAGGGCTCACTGTCTAAAAAAGAACACTCATTTTCTAAGGAACAAAGTCTGCACTGATGGGAACTCCTTTCCAATAGGCACGTTCACAGACGTGGCAGTGCAGGCATTCAGTAACATCGCACAGCAAGGCTGCTGCACACCTTCACAGATCGAGACAGCCTTGAGCAGCACGCGCCGGAGCCACTGTCCGCTCAGAGGAGTTCACGGTTAGGTCTGCCTCTCTACTCCTCCTCGGCACGCAGCGCTCCGAGCGCACCACTCTCGGAAAACTCTGTTCTAGGAACTGTTGGATGAAGGTATTTCAATCTTCAGAGGCTGCATTTCCACAGAAGAGCTGTGGATGGCAACAAATTGTTCCTATTATGCAAATGAAACGGCACACTTGGAAATTGCCTATGTGGCTCTTCTGAAGATGCAGGAATTGCTAGCGTGGAGAGTTGGATTTAACAAGCCAAGTCTTCTCAAAACATTTAAACCACAAACACAGACTCTCTCTTGCTAATTTCTCACTGTACTTGACTGCAGGTAGGGGACAACTCACGAGATTCACCTTCAAAGTATGATTCTTTTAAAAAGAGGAACAATGGTTTACATGACTACTTGTGAGATGCACACACAAAAAGCCATATGAATACTTCTGACAATAATCAAAAGAAGCACTGTATGATTCTGTACAGGAACCCTTTAAAGCAAGTTGTCTCTCATGAGGGTTAAAATGTACAAAAATCTATTTATACTGTAAGATTTGTTTTATAGAGGAAGCCATAGCAACTGACATGATGGCAGAGAGCCCTTGCCAAGACAAAAAAAAACCCAAAACATTTTATTGAATGGCCAAGCTTCTGCCTCTACTCCTCTCCGAAATCCACAAACCAGGATTCAAAGGAAGTACACTGTGCTCATGAATGAAATACCTACAGACAAAATAGCCCCGCACATCCAACAACGCTCCTATTTGAACAAAAGTCCTGTCACATCGCTATACATTGTTCTGACCCTTCAAAGCCAGCCCACCAGTCAGCAAACAGCACTTAAAAACACCACCCGAGTAGAAGAGAGTTCCTGAAAGCGACCGAACTGCGGTGCTCGGGCTGCTCCGGCTCCCTACACAATGGCTGGATTCTTTGAAATCCCCATCTCGTGCCCTGCGTTATTGGACACACGTCCCAGCTCTTTGTCCAGCTCAAGCCAACGGGCCCATTCATGTGCTCAAGGCCATTTAAAAGGCAACAACCCATTTCACCCAAATAACGAACACATTTAACTCTGTATTTCGCTCTTCTTTTCATGAAAGCAAAGCATTAGCTGTGGATTCCAATAAAAGTGTCCCCTTATTTTACCAGGTTCAAAACAGCTGAGTTATGCAGATTAATACTAACCCAAGGGATTCCCCGTGGATTTCAAAGGTTTAAAGAAAGTATTTTAAGGTACGTGCACAAAGACTACTGAACAGTCAACTTGCTGGAAGAAAAGAGATTCGCTCTCGAGTCACATGGGCACTGCTCTTTATCCCATCCAAAAACCGTGGACCGACTGTGCAGAACACTGCAGTGACCGATTCACTGTATTGTTTAAACACCTCATGTGAATTTTCCTAACAAAAGCAGGAGGAAAAAAAAAAAAAAACAACAAAACACCACAAAAGCGGGAAAATGCCAAAACACGTTTAAGGCCTGACAAAAGGGCATTATTTCACTAGGGGTACAACCTTTAATTATATAATTTAAAACAAATTCCAGCGGCAATTACGCCCGCCCTCCTGCTCCGCTCGGGATTTACAACGGCCGTAACGTTCGTGCGAGACGATCCCGCTCGGGTTTGCTGCGCTTACGTGCAAACCTCGGGGACTTGAAAGGTAAAATAAACACAGACACAGGTAAATAAGAAAAAATAAACTCTTGGGCGCTTCACAGGGGTATTTTGAATGCCTTTTTTTTTTT